GGTGGATCTCTGTGAATGTCGTCCAATAGCTCCCTGGGTCCTGCTGCTCCCTAAAAGACTTGGATGCCCACAGCCTCGGTCCCCTGACCCCCTTCCCAAGCTGGTGGTCAATGAGTGGCCATTAAAGGCACCCTGCACAGGCAGAACCTGCTCTCTGTTTATTTTTAGCTAGGAGAGACTGAATTTGTGCTGGTTTTGGTTCCCCCCCCTTCCCCTATAGCAAAGAAATCCTAAAGTTTCCCATGCAAACGCAGCCCGAGGGAGGGTACGTGTGGGCTGCGAGCTTGTGCTTTGCATTCGACTCGGGTATATATTTAGATTTCTTTAGGTTTCTGGCCCCCTGAGTGAGACCTGCTTCTGCAGCTCTCTGTGCCTTTTCCCGCCCTTTGGAAAAAAACAAAAGTCCTAGCAAAAAATTCACAAGAGCTGACGAAAGAATAACCCTGTGCTGAAGGTTGAGAAAGGGGAGCTGGTGGGGGCTCCTTCACCAGGTGAGGGCCCACCATGACAGCTCTGTAACCCCATGACGGTCCAGCTCCCACACCTTGGTGGTGCCATTTATAGGCTTGGAGGCTTTGCTGGCTGCAGGATGCGTTGTGTCCAAGATGTGACTGTAGTGGTTCAGCTCTGGCTGGGAGTCTCCACCGGAGCTTTGGCATGAGAAACACCCTTGGGTGTGTAGTCCCTTGGGGAGGCTGTGGCTCTTCAGTCTTCACCGGTAAGCTCACATTAGTTGTGTTTGTGTCCCGGATATGCCTGGAAGCAGTAGCAAATGTGTTTCTTGGTCTGGTGGCCATGGGAGAGTTTGCATGGTGATGGTTTAGGCTGGTGGGGTGCATAAGGAAAAGGTGGTTGTCTTAAAGGAAAGGGAAGAAGCAGCAAAGCTAGGTGTCAGGTAGCTCCTCTGTTTCCCAAAGCACTTGGGTGAGTGGCAGGACCTAGCCTGCTGCACTGAGAGTCCAGGGCAGGAGCCAGGAATTTCTTCACTGAAGGAGTTATGGTGTCTGTGTAATTTGGGGGTTAACCCCTTGTGTCTACCCTGACTTCTGCATATGATGACCTCCTAGTACCTTCAGCAAAGGGGAATAAAACCTATGGGAAGGCACAGTGGACAAAGGTGATGAACCACTGCCGACAAGGGATATTAAGAAAAAGTGATGCTCCAGAGGGATGGGTGAAAAGAACTGTTCAGTCAAGACAACTGCATCTTGGTGCTAGAGATGCTGCGAAGTGCTATGGGAGCCACCAGAAGTTATGTTGACACAGACCTCTTGAAGGATGCTCAAAGGGGCAGTGAGCGGTTCCCTACCTCTGCAGATGGAAGCAAGGTGTAGTGAAGCATGGCTGGGGAGATGAGGGCATGGCTTTTGGTCAACACAAAGACAAAGGCAACAAAAGGCTGGATAGTGGGAACAAAGACATGGCCACGAGTGCAGCTGATGGGGAAGCCAAGCACTGAGACCCCATCAGCCTGGTGCTGAGGTTTGCTTCTCCCTCCCCATGTTCGGAGGGAGCTGGCACATGAAATGGCAGGACTGGTAACAAGTATTTTTAACAACTCCATCAAGTTGGGGGAGGCACCATCTGACTGGAGAATAGTGAATGTGATGCCTATATTTAAAAGCGGGTGGAGGAGGGGAAAAAAAGTAAGGCAGGCAGGAATAGGACTGTAAGCCTGACCTCGATTACATGCCATTTTGGAAGAGATTTGGAAGGCAAAAGAGGAAAATGAGTCATGGGTTTGCCAAAGGTAGGTCACTCCGGGCTAACCTGGCATCGGAGTCCTGGAAACATGTAGAGCTGCTCTTTGTAGTAAAGCTTTTGCTATGGGAAAGTGTTAATGAAGAGGAGCTCTGTGAGGCTGACAGGGAAGTGAGCAGCATCGGGACGGCGCTTTGTGGTGTTGAGGGGATGTAGTGACTGGTGGTGACCAGTGGGGCTCCTTAGGGATGAGTCACCGGCTTTCCGTGCTGGCTTCCCGGTGCTTCAGGGACGGAGGCTGCCACCCTGGGCTGGAGGAGAATGAGAGCTGGAGGGAGAGATGTGGGATGCAGTGTGAATCTGAAAGCCATGTGCTGCTTGTGGAACAGCGAAGATACCTCTTCAGAGCCCGGGTCTCTCTGATGGCAAGTAGCAGTGTGGAGGAGGAGGGAATGAGCGAGTGACCACAGGCCAGCAGTGCTGGGAGGAGGAGGGAGATTTGCAGGCATGATGGCAAAGTCTCATTAGCATCATGCAGGGATGAAGTGGGACCCATCAGAATTGCTCCCTTGGCTCTCCTGTGTCCAGGGAAAATGAACTGGGCCTGGACTGTATCAGAAAAGAGGCTACTAGTTAAAATAGGGAGGGAGAGCCAATCATGCAAGAGAGAACTGGAGGAACAAAGTAGAGGCTGGGGATAGCCATGATTGCTGTCTATAAATACATCAGAATGGGAAATGAGAAGGAGAATTGCTATTTCAGCCAAAGGCCAATGCTGGCAAAAGAACGAGTGGTATATAAAATGACCACAAATAAATTTAGGCTGAAAACTGGAGCAGCCATTAGAGCATCTGTTTGAGGGGCCTTCCAGTGGGAATAGTGAGTTTTTAAGGTAGAGTTGACAAAATCTGGGGGAGATTGCATGGTGCGTGAGGGGGAGCATGGTATGTGTCAGAGCATTGGGGTTGAGAAGACACATGACCAGGAATGGTGGCTCCTTTGGTTCCCTGGGCAGATGTGCTTCAGCTTTGGGAGTGGAGAGATGGGAATACATCCACTTATTTGTGTATGTATGCACACACATGTGCTTTTCTGTCTGCCGATGCCCTGCTGCACTGGATACTTTGTGGTAATGCTCTCTGCCACAGGCTAGAAAAGCAGTGGAAGACGCAGAGCCTGTGAAGTGCCAAGCACCTCACATTTCCCAAACAAGCCCTCTTGTCTCCCATGGCTGGGACCTCTGCAGCCTGGGAGCGACAAAGGTACTGGAGCAACTCTTCCAGCTCCATGGGGAATAAAAATTTTGGCAGTCAGAGCAGCCAAGCAGGTACCAGATGATGGGCTGGAGCCACCTCATCAGGTGACTGGAGCCACCTAGCTGGGCTCACTAGCTCCTGGTTTTGTAGGGAGTGTTGGGATGTGCCATGGGAAATTTTATCTTGGGGTTGGGGGGTGCCAGCAAAGCTGGCACCAAGCAGGAGTACCTGCTCAGGGCAGTACTGTTCCTGGGGCTGCTGGCTTTGACATGGGTGGCTGGGACCATCCCTAAGCTCAGTGTGGCCAGTGGTGTGTTCTTGGGTATGTGGGGGTCTGTGTGGGGTACTCAAATCCCCATTCCCTCCCCTGCCCCAGCAGTGCACCTCCTGGCTGATAACCCTGGGGAAATTGCCCTCTGGCCTATCAACTCATCCCTGTCTCCCCCTGTATCTCCTGCTGAGCACTGCTGAGGAGGAGGCCAAAGGAGGAGTGGTGATGGACCAGCCCTGGGGAAGATGTCTTGTTCACCTGTAGGAAAGGAGTTCATCTGTCTTGCATCCCCTGTACCAAGGACCTTGGGGAAAGCCTGTGGTTTTTTGCCGGGAGTCAGTTTCAAAAACGAGCAATCCTGACATGGGTGTCAGGTACACAATGGCATCTTGGTAGGGAGCTGAAGCCCAGCCAAGGCTTATGGGTGCACAATCCTTGAAGACTATTGCCATGGCAAATGGTGCTGTTAAAGCAGAACATGGTGGCCTGGGTGTCTCTGGAGGGTGGTGATGAGTGTTTCACATGCATCATTCCCATCTCCCTGTGCTCACTTCTCCTGTGGCCCTGAAGAAAGGGGCTGGTAGTGAACTGGGGCTCTTGAAAGCACAGGACTTTGAGAAGATGATTTCCCCGGTGCTGGAGGAGGGTGGTGGTGAGTCTTTCCAGATGCCTTCCCCAACCTCAGAGCCCTTATTGCTCCTGTGTGCCCGGTAGTCCTTGGCACTGGGGCCTCTGCCCACAGCATCCCTCTACTGGTATTGTGGTCAGTGCCTGCAGTAGGACAGGCTGGCATCACCCTTCCTGTGTTGGGCTAAGTCTCAGGGTGGTGGGAACACCTGACTGAGGCTCCCACTGGTGCCTTGGTCACTAGAGGAAGACTCCAGCATGTTGGTTTTCTCTCCCTCTCAGAGATATGCTTCTCCCCTTGCAGAGCCTCCTCTCAGCTCCTGCACTGGCCGACCAGGCAATGTGGTGCCAATGACTCAGACAAAGATGAGGGCTTAATTAGCATGGGGAGAGGGGGGAAGAGAGAGAAAAGGGAGTCTTTCATTGCAACAAGATTGATACCACCTCCCCCAGACAGTCACGTTCTGCCGCATCACCCTCCAGCCCAGCGTCATGTGCACTGTGCCTGACACCGGAGGACAAATGGGGCCTGGGACGTGGCTGCAAGGGTACAGAGGGCTACTGCTTTATTAAAAGCCTCAACGAGTAAATGTCTGGAGGTATTGAGCAGGGCTTGCCAACAGCATTTTTAGCTGTCGGACTTTGCCCTGCAGTTAGAGCTCCACTCTCAGCCCCTTGGGGTTGGGATAATGTACCTGGGGCAGGAGGGTGTCTGTAAGCTGTTGGAGATGATGCCATGAGCAAAACACCCATTTGAAGGTGTGGGGCTTGTCCACACCAGCCCGTTTCCCACTATGCATAGGACAAGTATCAGCTGCAGCTTCTTTAGCTGCCAGCTTCCCTGACCTGAGGCATCTTATAAATCTTTTCCTCTTAACCTGTGCTTGCTCAGCAGGCAGTGCTGCTATGGGGCTGCTTTGTGATGTCTCAGTGGGCTGCAGAGGGAAGCACTGAATCAAGCTGCTGAGAGGCATGCTGAGGATGGCTCACATACTCTCAGCACCCTGATTCTGGGTCACTACATCTCTGACTATACCACTGTCTACAGCCCCTGCGTCCCTGCAGGGATGGTAGGAGAAGGCAGAGGAGAGTGGTTCTGCCCGGTGAGAGCTGGAGATTGTGGATGAGAGTATGGCTGGGGCAGGATGCCGAGGGGCATCAGGACACTGACGGTTGGGATCTCCCTGCAGGCCTGCCTGCACAGGCAGTGCCTGGTGCCCATCAAGGCTTGGCAGGCATGGCCACATCGCCATGAGGAGCCTGGTGTGGTTAGACTGCAGTGAGAATCACCACCATGCTGCATCTAACACACTCTCACCCTGCCCCAGGTGCTGGTGTTGAAGATAACATCACATGTTCTTTCTTTCCCCTCCAGACCAACGATGCCTTAGGAGCCACCTGGAACTGGCTGTACTTCATTCCCCTCATCATCATTGGATCCTTCTTTGTCCTGAACCTTGTCCTGGGAGTGCTGTCGGGGTAAGTGAGATGCCATCCTTCTCCTCTGGGTCATGCTTGTTGCATGTCTCTCAGCCCCGAGGTTGGCCCTGGTACTGCCATGCCCCCCAGGACCCCAGTAACTGGTTCCTCTGTCCCACAACAACAGATTGCTCCCTGACTCTGCTTAGCAACTTGGTTCCCTGGGGGACCCAGGAAAGGGGGAGCCTTGAAAATGCTTTTTTGTTGTTTCACTTTGCTGAAGAGTTTGTGGATTTGGTCACCTGCAAGAAATGGCCAGTGTTGATCTTCTGGCTGCTTGGAACCTGCTGGTGGGGAGAGACATAGTGGTGCCTTATGGAAATGTGTCTGAGTTCAGGATGTGTTTGTAGTGGGGTGCATATTTGCTGGCTGATGGACTGCAGTGGGCATGGGATGGGTAGTTGTGGGAGCAATTAGGGGCACCTTCACACTGTTCAAGCCCTAGCTGCAAGATTATGCCTGGCATGGTGGGGTATGCCTGTTGGTGAGGATCAGGGTGCCTGGGTTGCACATGGACGAGCCAGGGACGCAGGGACAGTTGTCCCTGTTCTGCTTTTCCCAGGGGAGAGGAGGTTTTAATCTAAGCCATTAAGATGGGTTTGGAGAGCAACAGGCTTCTGTCTCCATGACAATGAACTGTGGTTGCATCAGCACGTCCTCAACCGCTGTTGGGGGTTGGTGCATGGGGAGAGCATGCCCTCTCCTGCACTGGGAGGGGGATATGGCTCCTCTGCCCTTGCTGCAGGTGGCAGCGGGGACTCCATGCCCAGCAGCAGGTCATTTTGTTCCTAATTGCCCATTGTGAAAAACAAAACAAAACATAAAACCCCCAAAACACTATAGCCTGGTTTGGCCAGCTGGAAAGTCCTTTGATGCAGGGATCAATGTGGAGACTGGCCCTGGTCTTCTCCCTCAGTGTCTGAATTGTCCCATGAGTTCAGGTGTGCTGGTAGTGGTTGTTTCAGGAGCGCTTTGCTGTGCTTCAGGGTCTGTTGGTGGGTTGAATTTCCTCAGCTCTCAGTCTAGGGTCTGACTGAGCCCAGGAGCTCTGGGGACAAGGCTGCAGGAGGGGATTCACACTGCCTTGCAGGGATTGATGTCTTATGGAGGATGAAGGTGTCCAAGCAGTGTTAGGTGGCTTTTGCATTTCTTATGCCACTTCCAACTTGGCGATTTGAGCAAAGCCCAACTGGGTGTCAGTGTCAAGCAGGAGCTTTCCTATGAAAGCCCAGAGAGGAAAAGTTAGAAAGCTTGTGGCTAGGCTGGTAGATGCAGAGTTGAATCATGCCAGTGTAATGTGTTGTGTGGACACCGAGGCTTTTAGGTGGTGTAATGCTGAGAGCAGCCTGGGGACACAGCAAGGTAGTAGTGCTCTGGCTTGCAAGCCAGCCACTGGGAGGAGGACCACAGGGTGGCTGCTGAGATGCCTGGTGTGTGCCCTTGGCCATGCTTGGTGCTTTTCTGCTCTAGGACTGTGCAAGGCAGCTGTTCCTGCACCCGCTGAATTGGACACAGTTGTCTAGGGCTCTTCCCAGGCACTGGCTGGCATTTCGACTGTTTGTTTATTGCTAATAGGGTTTGTATTGGGGAAGGATGCAAGTGGGTGGGTGGCCTAATTGGCAATGGAGATGCTCTCGTGGTGTGCCAAATATCTAGGGAAAAGCACGACTGCTCAGCTCCCTGGAGGGCTGAGAAAGGTGAGTGGAGGCTGCAAACTGGGCTCTGCCACCCAGTGGCAGACCCACCATGTGTGCCCTTCTTCTTGGCCACGGTCACAGACATCCTCTGTGGCTCAGTGGATGCAGTCCCTCAGCAGTGGTGAAGCATCCTTTTGCCAATGCTGCCACTGGAGCTGCAGAGGGGTATGACATAAAGTGGGAGAAGGTACTTCTGCACACAATGTATGTCCTTGAGGGTAATAAAAAGGACTTAGTTCCTTGCTTTGCTTGCTTAATTTTTATTGTTTTTACTTCTTGAAATCCTCTTGTGCTGGAAGAGAGCGCTTGGCTCTGCTGTGGGAGGGCAAGTATGACCTTTCCATCCCCCAGCCTCTGAGCTGGATGAGCAGGCAGGGTCTGGCTGCATCCTCTTGCATGCCCTGCGGTTGGGCTGAGCTGGGAGGAGATGAGCTCCATGGAAACATCTGCACGAGAAGGAAACCTTTCTTCAGCATTCCAGCACTGCTTTGAAAGAAGATAGGCAGCCCTGCCCAGCTAGCTGAAATTAAGGTCACTCTGTTAACTTGGGACATAGCAGTGAGTGGCAGGCCATGGTAGCCTGCTTGCAGAAACCTGGATCCACGTTGCTCGCAAACTGCTCCATCTGCACTGGCAAATAATGAGGTCTGCTCAGGATTTCCAGCTTTCTTCTCGAAGTTCACACTCAGGAGCTGCTGCAGAGCTGCCTTTCTGCTTTGTCTCAGCAGTGTTGTTTTTTTTTTGGGAAACAATCAAACACCCAAGGCAGGTCTTGAATGCAAAGAGGCTGCAGGAGGACATTTGTATGTTTAACTTGCCACCAGCAGAAGTTTGCCGGAGCCCAGATTTAGCAATCTTCTGGTTGCGATGCGCATCTCTCCCAACAGTCAGTTCCCCAACTGTTAAACTGAGGCATGACCTCCGTGATGTAAACAGCCTGGATCCATCTGCTCCTAAGCACAAAGTATGTGGGAGAGGAAAAGAAATTATTTCCATCATACTGAGGCTCCTCGATTTTTCTCTCTAAACACTAACACGCACACATGCACTGGAATTGCATGCAACACTATTAAGAGGAGATAGAGTTGCTTCAGGCAGGGGCTTGGAGAGCCAGTTCTTCTGGGGCTTTGGCATTTATTACTGTGTCTATTAACTTTCACCCTCTATGGGTGCGATTACATATCAATTAATTCTAACTGAAAGCAGGAAAGGAAAAAAACAATGGCCCTGTTCCTCTTTGAGAGCAGGTATGAAGCCCCAGGAGATGTGACTGCTCGGCTTTTAAAGCTACGCAGGCTACTGAAATAATCCTGGCAGAAGAGAGTCAGTGGGAGCAAGTGAGGATGGAGCATCAGCTGAAATGCCTTGTTTTCTGCCATGTGGCAGCCAGTGGATGTCAGAGCTCAGGAAGTTGCTGAGACTCGTATTGAGCATTGCCTGCTGCTGTGCTGTGACCTGAGGTTGATGTCACCCAGCACCCTGCTGCGGTGTGGCAGAGTTTACCTGCAGATCTGCATTTCTTCCTTGGGAGAGCCACTGTAGTGCAGAGAGAGAATCGCATGCTGCAGGAGGAGTAGGAGGGATGGATGGGACCTCCTTCTGCCCTGGTTGATGGCCCATTGCAGGTAGTGCACTGCAGTCAATTGGCTCTGAATCAGGGGGGTGCAGAAGTTGCATGTGCCCCATGCAAGAGATCTGCAAAGGTCTGCTTTCCCTTCTTCGTGAATTTTTATTTTTACTTTTATTTTTCTCTCACCTGGCTCTCATGTAAAACAATTTGGATCTGTGTGTTTGGGGTGCATGAGCAACAGAGATCCAGTGAGAGCTGTGCTGCCCTGTCCCTGCTGCCTGTGGCATGCATGCTGCTGCAGTGGCAGTAATGCCATCCCAGTAATGGCCACAGCTCACCACTTGTCCTGTCCTAGTCACTGCGGAAGTCCTGCCTTCTTTGCACCGATGGCAAGAACATGGCTTGTGTCTAGCTTGTTGCTGGGAGTAAGAAGATGAAAGAGTGAAGATAAAAAATAAGCCATGCTTGGGGGTATAATGTTGAGGACTCGTGGAGTTTCTGAAACTAGACAGGCTGTGTTTTGTCTCTTTTCCACCTCCCTTTCCCCAGCCCCTGCAGGGAAAATCTGGTTTGGAATTGCTCTCCTCCATTCATGGTAGCATCTGTCCTCCCATTGAGGGCTGGTAGACTTCTCTCCCCTATCCAGTCTCATACTTGAGCCCCTTTCCGGGGTGACAAATCTGCTATAATCACTGGCATTCATGGTCCACAGCAATAGCTGTGTGAGTGCAGAGTGGAAGGGGATGCTGCCCAACCTAGGAAGTCTGGGTCCTTGGGTCTGCAAGGAGAAGACCTTTGGAAGCTGTTGGCAGAGAAAGATGTTGAGCATGATGGCAATAAAATCCATCTGCATTGTACCAAACAAGAGAGTAATTTAAATCCTCCTAATTGCTTCCACTCATCCTGGTGATGTTAAGTCTTTTCTCTCTTTAAGACTTTTCTGCCCCCCACCCCCAGCTCTTGCTCTAAGCCTTCGAAAGAAGTGTCTAATGTTATAATTAAAGGATCAATTTGGCAAGATTTCTTTGTCTTAAGATCTTTTTCTTTCAGGTTGGGTTAGTGCTGTGTTCCCAGTCTCTGGAGAGTTTTCTCCAGCTCCTCCAGGAGTCTTCTGTACAATCTCTGAAATCTTTTCACTTCACTTAATTTGAATTTTTTTCCCATCCAATTTTGAGGCATAACAAATGATGAATAAAATTAAGTTTTACAGCAATTAATAATAAGGGCATTGAAGATACAAGTATACATTTTCAATGGAGGCAGGGTTTGGGGTTTTTTTCTGGCTCTCTGCAAAACCTGGGCCCTGTGTATTCAAGCTGGATTGGGTGGTTTGAGGCTAAAAACACTGGAAAGCCAATTAATGTCTCAGAGGTAGGTGTTTTGTGGAGGGGAAATCAGGCAGACGTATTGCCACAATGCAGAAAGGCTCATGGGGAGGTCAGGAGCTGGCAGCAAGATGGCAACATGCCCAAGAAATATTGTGTTGAGAGCACGAAAGCTTGGAAGCATCTTTTTTTTTTTTTTTTTTTTTTTTTTTCTTTAATGGTTGTGACATCTCGGGGAGTAGCTCAGATGAGACGTAAAGTGTCTGTGTCCATTGTGTGTTTGGGGATACACAGTTGGAGCTGCTTTTGAATGGAGATGTGGGTATAACGAGGAGGGGGACCATGATGCCTCCTGCCAAGTCCCTCAGCACCATCATGGGGTGCACATTGGCTGGATCATGTTTGGTG